AGCAAAACCATCACTGAATCCAAAGATGCTCTTGAAGAAAACACAGCGTCTACTACAGCATCAGGCACAGACCCTGAGGAGAAAAAAAAGGTGTCCGCAAAAACCCAAGGCGTAAGCCTACGAAGCAAACTCATTCCATTCGCGCCTTTTATCGAGTCGCCACCATACACGCCCCCCGTTGCCGACCACCCATTTGAACCTCCAAGTGATTCTGCCGATGACATGTCCGGGGGATCGCGTTGTTCAACAGGAGAGGGGAGGTCGATGTCGCCTGATTCAGTTGTGTCTGCGGCACCACCGTCCTCTCCCTCCCCTCCTTTAACTCCTAGTTCTGCGGCAAAGGCGATGTTTGATTTCAAAGGAGGAGTAGCGTCTTCCCAAAGTCGAAGACAATGGGGTGTCACTGACAAGGTATCTATCTATACGGTCATAGCACTTTTCATAACGGAAATTTGTAATAGAAAGGCTAACGCGCTGTGACACTTATCAGAACCAGGGCCCGGTTTCTCGAAAGATGGTAAACTGTAACCCAGGATTAAGCCAACTCTTAAGCAAGGTTTTCTTGTCTAAGGACACTGCAACTCGAGCTTTAAAAAAAACAATTTTGAGCCTTTACTCCGAGATACAGTAATGATGACACAATGACAACAAAATTGGTGTACGTTGCAAATACAAAGCTGAGCAGCCCTGTTTTTTTTTCTTTTTTCAGCCTGTCGAGGACCTCATGCTGTCGTCGATACATGCTTTCTCCGTGGAGCTGCGCCTGGCGTCCGAATCAGTGCTGTCAAAAGTGAAGTACGTTGTATAAAAGATAAAAATGGGTTACTCGTTGTTGTTTTGCTCCCAACGACGTCGCGGTTTGTGCGTGAGAAATTCACGATGCAAATAAGAACTGACCGCAAGGGAGGAGAAAGCGCGCGCGCAAGGAGAGACTGAGAGGAAACTACCTCTTCCCTCGTGAGTGTCCCTCTTTCGCGCGCGTTTTGTCTCGTGCCCCATATTTCTTATGCGCTTGCCACGCACGCTTCGATAGACGAACTCTCTCGTGGAGACTGTAACCTGACTTCGAAGACTTCCTTCCCTTAAAGAATTCAGGTCGCAATACAAAAACAAATTTCCGCGAGGAAACTCGCGGGTACGGAGAATAGCCTAGACTGGGAGCACATGTTGTGCTCCTGCCTAGACCAAAGTAGGCGTGGTCTTAAATGTCAAGGGTTCTCTGTCTGTTATTTTGATGCAAATCGTACTAACCTGTCTAAATGTTTGGAGTAAAAGTTGCTTGTTTGATTTTGAATTTATGGTAGGACTTTATATGACGGCAGCGAGGAAGAACTAAACGGTACTTCTCGATCAAGCAATAGTTCTGACAGCAAACAGGAATCTCCGAGTGCTATTCCGGATTGGAAGAGCTCACACGCGGTATGTGTTGCACAATCTGGGGAGAATGTTGGAGAGGGGCAGATATTGGTTGTTTTCAAATCAAAATCCTATTCCTAACTGGGTACTTACTGAGAACCGGAAATAGAACCCAGGACTTCCTAGTCTCCTTCACAGCAGACAGTACTAACTTTGACTCTGCTGATTCAGTGTTTTTTCTCTTGTAGGAGATAGCAGGAATATTTCGTAATTTGCGCAAAGTTGAGCTTCGCCTTCGCAGTGAGTATTTAGTGCTTCTACTGTCATCTTGTGCAGACATTGCACCCTCTAATTACCCCAGATCCTAAGTCCAAAGATTCGTGTTCGTTGCCGAAATATCGGACTATTTATTAGCGGGTTTGAATATGCTAAGATATCGCACTGATGTCACCGTCGTAGAAAGTAGTAGGTGTAAATGATGGTAATTCCCCACTTCAGAAACTCTAGGGAGAATAAGCACATGCTTTGGATGCAGTGATGTCTAAGATTGTTTAGGTGGACAAACGTTAGTTATGATTGGTCGATGGTATTCAAGGCAACCATTAACCATAGTTATTAGAGGAGACTAGTTATGAAAAGCGGCAAACATCAATGATAAAAACAACAGTGCTGCAGTTTATGTTGGAAGTACCGTGAAAGTGCACAATCCTTTGTTTTCTGTTGGCAAAGTGTTACGGAATAAATTAATGCAACGTTTTTATTGGTCAATACAATCAAAATGATAGGAATTCTTTTGAACGTTGTGCACTTTCAGGTCCACAAAAACAAATAACAAAGGAGTCTGACGGGTTTCATAACCATTCCACTCAATTAATTATGCATTAACCAATCATAAGTAACGATTGTCCACCCATACGATCCCAGAAATCGTTGCGCCGAAAGCTTGTACCCATTCTCTTTATAGTTTCTGGAGTGAGGAATTTACCTGGATATGGTTTGGTTCATACACAGTACAACATATCACCTGGACAATTAGTAACGTATAACTCGGCCGTGAAGAGTACATTCAGTGTTCGATGGTCTTGAGTGAGCCCCTGCAAACAGGAAAATTTTGTCATAAACTCGCGAGATTCTCGCGTAGGGAGATCCGCCGCGTACTCTGCGGGTTTCCGTGTAGAGAGCGAATAACGTGACCGCAAGTGTTTCAACGCGAAATCCGCCACGAAATCCCAACAAGAGAGCTGAATATCTGAAAATTCCGCAGTCTTGCTTAAAATTACTTCAAAAAGTCTCAGTTTACAAAGGGGTCGCATGAGATATGTTTTTGTCACTCTCTGAGTGACACTGATTTGTTTTTATTACAGCGATGGAGCAAGCTTTGTCTATTATGTGTGTAGCTGCGCAGAAAGAACCTAAAAAGGTACAGTACTTACCACCACCCCCTCCCCCCCCACTAGCATTTACTTCCTTCTCCAACCAATACCAGGAAGTCCCCTCACTGCGCCAACCAACCCCCACCCCTCCCTCTCCCCTACCGCGTGTCCCAAAGTGTTCATGGCATAGTCATCGCAACAGAAGTGTTGAACCCTTCAGACTCCCGCCGTCTGTCTACTTCGGCGGATCTGCCATTTCAAGTTGTGTGCGGTGGTGAGAACCCCACGGTTTAGAATTTAGCATATTAATGTAAGAATTTCAGTGCATTTTTGATAAAGGCTACAACGAGTTCCTCCTAAATTTTAACCATAAGCCGCTTGTGATATCAATTGTACGGCTCATTCATATGCTCTGCCGCGCAGTTCTTATAAATCTTGTTCCTCGAATGTCAATCCACTCTACTTTGTTTTTTTCCCAGTCTTTTCAGGAGAGGAAAATATCAATGATAGAAACATCCAGCCTCGGTAAGTAATCCCGCCACTTCTTAAGAATCTTAGCCTGAGAAACAGCCGACATTCCGCTACGCCACCACTGGTTCCCCCGCGAAATGACGTCTGAGAAACGTAAAAAAAAATTTTAGCCAATCAGACGCACTACCCAGATCTGGGTCGTGTCGCGTCATCAGTATGGAATTTCTGTGCTCGTTTCTTAGTCGTCATTTCCCAGGGAAACCAGTGGGTGGTGGTGCCGCGAAATGTCGGCTGTTTTTCTCAGGCGATAAGAATCGCTACCAACGCTTAGAAAAGTCCAGAGACCTAAATGATTGCAGCGACCAGCGATAGCGATAGCTGTAGTAACGATCACTCAAAGTTGTTTTCTTGTAAACGCTGCTATCAGTGAACTCCATTTTTGCAGTCCCAGTGACCATAGACCACGTAGAACTTAACTTTATCTCAGCGATCGTAATCTCAATGGCAGACCGCGATCATTGATGTTTTGTTTCTATGGTAACCATTTTTAGCGATAACGACCATGGGGAAACCTGACTTTTATATGTTCAGACACACTGGCCTCTTAATAAAGGGATTTATTTGTTTATTCTTATCATGCTACTCTCTCTTTCAGGCTTGGGTCAAAAATGGAGAGAGTTTAAAATCAAAGCTCGGCGGAATTCGTGGGCAGTAGAACACAGAAACCAATTTCCATTCCCACCCGCCGAATCTGATGAAGAAGACGAGGAC